AAATGTATATTTACAATAATTTATAAATATTTACACAATTATTTTTGTGTATCAGCAGCAGTGTACATAAAAGAACTTCATATATTTTTTTTTTTTTGGCACTCAGAAGTTTTATTCATGTTGTTAGCAAAGATGTGAATTCTCACAGAAAAATAAGTTTTCAAAAGTAATTCTGCTACTTTGCAGGATAATGAAACTCTGAAGCTTTCATTTAATGAGCTTGCAGTTAGTCTCATCAGATGCATATTTTCATGATTAATTAAATAGTCTTAGAATATTTCTGAAAAGTTTCTTCTCCACATTTTATAACATTGAATGCTAATTTTGTTGGGGCATTAGATTTCCCTTACTGACTTCAGTTGTCCATTCGTGTGGCATTTTTGAAGATGACTCCGAGGTGCAAATTCTAGTTATGCAAATACTGCATGTTTTTTTTTTTTTTTTTTTTTGGGAAACCTTAATTATTTTGTGAAGCACCCAACCTGCTAAATAATACAGACCTGCCAACTGCAGTAAATTGAGACTGATATTTTTAAGACTATGGTCTTGAATTTCTTTGTTTTCTTTTGTCTGCAAAACTTTGTGCTTGGAGAAAAAATCCAGATAATACTCATCATCATCCACATCATGGTACTGAGCTATGCTAATCATTCAAGTAACATGCCTTAATTTGACATGGGTGGGATGAATATCATTTGTCTGACAAACTTGTGAAAAAAAAATTTTTACGCAATTGGTACTCAGCCTGCTGATTAAAAGATAGTCCAGAAAGTCACGTGGCAACAATTCCTCAAACAGTTCAATTGCAGATGTTGTAGACAGTTGCACTCCTCTTTGAACTGGCTTCCGACGATTTTTCCTTTGAAACTTTTAAAGGAAAATCAATGTGTAAACCGATACTTCAAGTGAACTATTTTCTCTGGTTGACTTTTACAGAGCGAATGAGTTTTACACCGATTCAGCATAATGTCATACGACTCGTTGATTTTATGTATAAACTAGCTTGTGGTTAATGCATCTCTGAGAATAATTCCAGATGATGCACAAAATTTTAAGGCAGAAGAAATGTTATAATTAATTAAATAAACTTTTAGCCACTGAAACTCTCATTTTCTGAAAAGAATTTGGGTTTAGTACTGTCACTGAGAGGGAGGGAGCTATCACTGGTCCTCCTTTTTCTTGCTGCACCTTACTATATACATACTGTATATAGGCCAGATGGCCGAGTGGTCAAGGTGGCAGCTCTGGAGGGCCTGGGATCGAATCCGGACAGGTCAAGGAATCCCCAGGAATTTTTCAGGGGGTGATCTGTTCGGACCCCGTCCCTCACCACCCAGTCGCCCCATTGTGGGCCTGGCCATACCCATAATGGGCTTGCAAAAATAGGCCCTCTTAGTGCCCACAGGGCGGAAAGAGTTAAAGAAAAAAAAAGTAGATGAGCCTGCTGTTGCTCGGGCAAAAAATATCAGCAAAGATTAGGATTTATTTCATACTTCTAACCCTTCTACTATATTATATTATAGTACAGTATTTGATTTTATATTTACAAAGGTAATCTCATGTAAGAGTTTATCGCACTGAATAACCAATCTAATACATTTTAAAAATTCTTTAAATTGTATACAGTAGAGGAATAAAGAATTTTTAAAATGTGTTAGATTGGTCATTCGGTGTGATAAACTCTTACGTAAGATTACTTTTTATAGTTATATAGCTGATCTTACCCGTTTTCATCGGGTGCAAGAATTAGGTCCCCCTCTTCCGAAGCTAATTAGAAAATTTTTAGATGGATCTAAAAATATGTTCGATTTCTTGCAAAAGTCCGCATTCGCAATAATACAGCCAAGTTCTTCATGGTAATCCTTAACCCTCTCCTTCGCGGAGGAAATTTCCAAAAATTTCATTTTAGTGTGCATTCTCATGATGTATCCTAACAGTGTACCAATTTTCAACTTTCAACTTCTAATCCTTTGGGCTCTGCGCTTATTATTATTATTCAGGTGACCAACTTTTTTATAATGAAAATGAGGACACTAATAAATTGAAGGAAAAAATATCGTAAATAAAAAACATTTTATTCATTACAACAATAATACACTATAATAATCTCTACTGCATGCATAGGTGCCGTGTTGTGTTTTGATAAGAAGTAAACAAAGCCATTTACGCTCTCTCTCTCTCAAGGTCTCTGGTGTGAAGAGCACGAATCTCATAGTTGCATCTCATCGCACTATACAGAGCCTTGATGAATCGTCATGTTAAATACAAACACGTCATATCAAATCACACGCAACAGATCGGTTCGGCATTGATTTAATACGGAGATTTACAGATTACTCTATAAATATCAAAAAGGAAGACATGTAGGAAGACACTTTTTGAGGGAGAACAGAACTTACAAAAGGAGGACGACTGATCACCTTATCATCATCAACCCACCTGAATTATAAAATTATTTCGGGTGTTTGGAGGGCAGATAAATCGACCCACGAAAATCGGTAACTCTGATTCCTGTGTACATTAACAGTGACTTTACTTGCGGAGAGTCACTGCCGTGACTCCTCATTCATTTTTTCTAATCTCAAGTATCAGTCTCGCGCATAACTAATCAACGCAATTTTAAATTATTTTTTGTTTCATAAAAGTAGTTGTCCAAAATTACCATATGGGCGGGTGGGTATGCAGATAATCGTTACAATGCTTTATGAGGTGAATCTGCCTACGAAAACGTTATGTCATGTTAATATCTTAACCCTGGCATAACAGAATGATTGTTTCCGAAGGGTTGCTTAAGGCAGCCATACACGTTAAGTTAATCCTCTAAGGCTGCCTGACCTTGAGGAACTTCAGAATTTCCTATCGCCCACACACAAAGAAGAAAATCTCTCAGCAGAGGCGTAGCTAGGGTGGGGCAAGTAGGGCATGTGATCCAGGCGCCACTCGCAGAGGGGCGCCAAATGGTCTCCATTGTCTCTCAGTCAGTCAGTCGATCATGACATCTGATGACGACATACTGTCTATTCTTGGATGTTTATTGGCAACAAATTCTATTAAAACTCGCGGGGAAAAAGTATGCATAGAAGTCTATGGTGTAAATAGTAGTGGTTTGGGTAGCACTGATCACAAAATTAATTTTTCAAGAGAAATCTTGGGCTATAGATTCTGTTAAAGAGCATCAATTATCAGCAAAAGATCAATGGCAAGTCAATTTTACTACCAAAAAAATTCATGGATTTTATAGACGAATATATATTAATAATTCTCAGCCACATCCGTTATTAGTACAAATTGTAAACATTATTATCGCAAATTAATTTTATAATTTAATAATTAAAAAGAATTTATTAAACTTTGTCTTATTTTAAGTTGTCATGTTTTAATTTACTTGGATATTAAAACAATAAATTTTTTAAAATGTAAAAGAAAATGATATAGAGTATCAAGATGTTTTATGAAAATGGAAGAAATGAATTGAGAAGTTTTCTAAATATTAAAATTATTTATAATTTTAATTTACTCAAGAAATTTTTGATTTGAAAATAATTTATAACCTGAAAAATTAATTTTTTAGGTTATAAATAATAAAAGTTAATAAGGTTATAGAAAATAATTCTTCCAAACATTCACGAGACATTGTTCTTACTACTCAGTGGTCTCACACTGAACGACACGACAGCACACGTTAAGGTCGGCCTGTGCAGTCCAAAACTATGCATGAAAATCAAATGGTTTTTTGATTCTACTCCAGTGGTCGGTACAATTCGCCAAAACTGTTAAGTTTTCCCCCACACACTATCAGGAATTACTCAAGGTCAGGCATGCATGGTTAATCCTTTGAGGATTAACTTAACGTGTATGGCCGCCTTTAGAGAAGTCTACTATTTGTCACCGCTATGTACTGTACGTAATTAATGTAACGTTCGATTATTCCGTGCTGTGTATTTAGTACAATTAAGGGTAAATCTAAGATATGCATTACATACTTTTGAGTGTGGTATGAGATGATGATTGTGGTTAGTTAATGCTATTTTTAATTTTTCTACTTATGGACGATTCCATATTGACGTCTAAAGATACTTACCATTATTTAACTAACGAATACAAATAGGAATTTAAATCAATGTGGATTGTATGTTTGACCGTATGTATTTATTAGTGGGGCAGCGATTGTACCACGCGTCTAGTATCAAAAAACGATAGTACAACCTATATTTTTTCATTCTTATTCAAGGGGTTCTTGGTTTACTGGTAGATTGGTAACAATACAAATATTTTATTAACATTTTTATTAATATGGTGAATGTTTTTTGAATCTCTGCACTATGGGCACTAAGAGGACCCCTTTTTCATGCCAAACATGGGTTTAATTAGACCTACAATGGGGTCCAATGTATCTAGGAAACATTCCTGGGTTACTAGCCTGGATTCAATCTGAGTTTCCCAGAATGACAAATTAACTGCTTCAACTGTCCTAATAACATGACTAACAAGTTCTAAATAAAATCAAGAAAAATTATTGCTTGAAGGCCATACAATTTGAAAACTAAATTTTCTGATTAACAGCTTGGTCTTTCTGTAAAATTTTTAAAATGAAATGTTCAGATAAATATAGCAAAATTTTAACTAAATTACAGGATTGGTCCAAAAGTCAGTTGATCATAATATGTTATTTTAACATTTAGAATAAAGCTGTATGTTAAAATCTTACTGAATCAAATAGTAAGAATAATTAATCTTGGTTAACTGACTTTTGAACCAACCTTATATTTAAATATAAGGATGGGCTAAAATGTTAGAGTTAGTTAATTTATACAGCTTTGAGTAATTTAGTTTGCTCTCAAATTTAAATTCTCAATGGTATGCAATCATGAACATTATAAAATAAAATTTTGTAATTTTTATAAATAAAGAATATTGACATACAATGACTATATATAAACTCAAGTATTTATTAATAAAAAAAAAAGTAAAAAGATCTGAATACCAATATTTTCAAAACATAATTTAAAATATTTACATGTCTTTAATAAATCAAGATCTTAACATATGAACATACTACAGATACATATTCAATTATAACAAGAAGGAAAAAGATTTGCAATTTCTTCATTAAATGCCACATCTTTGGCTGTCAAACCATTGTCATCCGTGATCATTTTAGCTCCATTCTCCAAAAGTAACTGGACGATATCAGGATATCCACAAAAACTTGCTGGAAATAAATTTTTTATGGAAATCAAAAATCATTTAGATAATTATATTTTGAATATAAAGCAAAAATTAAAACTGATAATTACCTAAATGTAAAGCAGTCTGCCCATAATCATCCTATATTATGAAGATAATAAAGTTTTTATGTAAATAAAAATGTACAGAAATAAGAATAAATTGAGGGTCATTCTAAAAGTAAAGAACATTTGTTTCTCTAGATATTTTTATTTAAGATAGTGAAACAAAACTTATTTTACAACACATATAATACCTTAGTTATATTTCTACATAGTCACGCTATAACAAATGTTTAAATTTGTCATCAGCTTTTCTATGCCTTCTGCACATTCAGTTACAGCCAAGTTCTTGAACCAGTCATTAACAGCCTCTTTCAGTTCATTGTCACTTCCAGTGATTCCCAGCTAAAAAATCCTTCAATTTTGGGAAAAGACATAATCACTTGGAGCCTAGTGATAAGAAGGATGTTCAAAAACTTTCCACTTAAACTGCTGTAGCAAGTTCTTCGAGTTCTTCGTCAACGCAGCAGTATGTGGACGTGCGTTATCCTGAAGAAGCACAATGTCTCTGGACAACAATCCCTACAGTTTGTTTCGAACTGAAGCTTCATTCATCACATTACCATAAACCTCGGATATCTGTCTGTAAATTTCAATACTTTTTTCACATTCAAAAAGCATATTACACTATGAAGCTCACTTCGTGGGATCTTTAATTTTGTCACACATTTCAAAGTCACACTTAAACAGTAAATGATCATTGTGGCTCACTGTTAGCATCAGACTGGCACAAAAACATGGGAAGGTTCATGATGCAGCAGTTGAGGGTTGTGGGAGAACTGAACGTCTTGTCAGATCAAAACATTCTTTTCTTTTAGAATGACCCTCATAAAATCACAACATTTATGACAATAAAACCTAGGGCTCTACATTATCTGAAAATGACAACAGAAACCATAAATCAAAACACAAATAGAAAAGAAAATATTTTCAACTTTTCTGTTGTAATTTTGTAAGTGATGGAATCTGTCTCATTGAAAATGTAATGTTGAATCATCATTTTATTAATTATTGAGAATTAATTTTCCTTATAGAAATATTATAAACAAAATTTTTCAATAATTTTACTATTTGTTTTAAACTGTAAAGCTAATAAAATATTAATTAAATATTTCATAACTGATCGTAAGTGGCATTTTTTATAAATGAAAGCTATATAATAATATCTAAAGAATCATAGAACAGTGTCAGAGAAAAATAAATATTTATTGCTTTCCATATAATTTGTTAGTTATTATTCAATATGCAGAGTTCTTAGTTGGTCACAACTTCAACTAAAAAAATTTTTTTCACTAGACCTGTTGCTATGGTTCTTTTAGTTTAGTACACAATGTCTTCAAGGCCCAATGAAGATTATCCAAGTACGAAATTGTGCTCCTACCTGTTTGTAATACAGATTGTTGTAAAGTATAAAATATTGATTTGTAGTATTGTAGAAACTAGTATTTGACCAACTAAAAATTTTTTTTTCATTTACTGCTTACAGCAGGTGAAAATGTAATTTGAGTAATATTTGTTTTTAACTCCTCTTTTTTATTTCTAGGTAGATGACTCTATTTAAGTGCTTCAGTATCTTCAATAATTTCCATATTGTTTCAAAGTGGCATTTTCATTTTTTTTTTAATATAAAGTTTGATAACCAAAACTATCATTCTCCAATGTAATGTCCCCCACCTCAAAAATGGTAACTCATGAAACCATTGTTGAAGCAACATTTTGTAAAATTTGTGAAACAAAAAATGTCAAAATGTTTCAGGATTAAAAATTAAACAGGGACCTAATCAACTTCTCTTTCCTGCTATTATTCCAAGGAATACTTCTATTATACTACTAGCAGATCCTGCCACATGTTGTTGTGGCTCAAAATGTATCTATTATAATTGTATAACACTTCCCCTAAGGGGGGGAATTTTTCAAAAAATCCCTTCTTAGGGTATATTCTCTTGACATACCCTATTAAAAACGCAATCAAAAATGCAAAAAACCGCATCTAAAATAGTATAATAGAAGCCAAATTCTTCACAGTAAGCCTTAATCCTGTCCCTCTCCCCCACAGGGGCATATCGAAAAATCCCTTTTTAGTGTATATGTTACTGTGAAAGACTGTAATTAGAGAATGTCGACACATACAAAATACGTCAGTGAAAGACTGAATATTTGGTTATATTATTATACATTCGAACAATCGCTGGTGTATGTCAACAAGCACAGATAAACTTTGGTGGAAGTCAAAATGACACCCGAGAAGCCGATGTCGACAGAGAGGCAACAGTCTGTTGCCAAATTCTTTGTGGGTAGCCGGAGGTAGGACAAGGTTGTACCTCTTTTCCCAGCAACGGTTTGGTGGCAACCACTTTGTCACTGAATGGCATTTTTTGTTCTTTTGATCCCGTGAACTGGGGATCGGTTTGTCACGTTGAGTGACGGAAGATGAGAGGGGTTGTCGGTAAGGCGTCGGCGATATACAAATAAAAGACATCATTAACAGATCAGTTCGTAATCACGTAATAATGTAATCAGTTCGTAAGTTGTAAAGAAAAGTTACTTTCCATAGATGAGATTTCTTCTCAATAAATTTTGCTGAGAGAAGCAGCTGCAGCTAATTCGAAAAGTGGAGGGCAAGGCTATACACGCTATCATTGCAAAAAGAAGTGTTCCACAAATAAATGCAGCTGTAAATAAATAAAGTGCAATTTGAAGTGCCATAACAGTTTAAGTTGTTGCAATAAATAAGATTGTATAACATTAATCACATAATTTATGTGTAAGGTTATTATTGTACTATTTTCTTTAATAATTTAGAATGTATGGTTCATTTTAAATTCAACAGTTTATTTACATGCTTTTACTTCAGCTTTCTCCTATATTAAAGTTGCATATTAAATCTGACATATTAAAAAGTTGCATTTTTGTCTTATCATAAAAATATTTTTATTCAACATTCACCATCAGTGCATGCCGAATGTCGACATTTGCTGGTGTAAGTGAGAAATAATGATATTTAGCAAATATTTCATACATACATGCTGACATTCACCAGAGAATCTCGACATTCGCCAGATATCGCTCATTCATAGTAACATGTATTCTGTTGACGTACCATATTAGAATGCAATCAAAAACACAAAAGACTGCATCTAAAATAGTATAAACAGAAGCAGAGTTCTTCATGGTAAGCCTTAATCCTGTCAATCTCCTCTCCAGTTGGGGGAATTTCAACATGTATATTACATAAAAACACGTGCGTATTCGAATGCAACATTGTGTAAAAATTTCAAAGGAATCTGTAGGAACAAACAAACATCCTATCTATATAAATAAAAATGTATAGATGATCTGCTTTAGTTCATCCTCACAGAAAAGCAAACTTAGGTTGTCGTACTGATTAAGGCTTTTACGTCCAACCATCTGTTGGATGTAAAAGCCTTAATCCTAGATGATATCTTTTAATTTATATGAATGTTTAACAATAATATACAGCCTATGTCCACCCTGAAGTTCCATTCTAAATATTGGTGAAAGAATTTTTGAAATCGGCTGAGTAGTTTCGGAGATTACTTCCTACATCCAAACTTTACCTCTTTATAATACTGTATTAGTATAGATAATCCTGAATCAAGGTATACATCATTCTTCTCATCAAGTATCTTTTGCAGATGAAATAACTATTGCCCTTATAAAATGCCAAAATAATTCCTGCTCTTAAGTCTGTAGTTTCAAATATTCTGGATGTGTCACCATTACTATTAGATGATGCAGAATACTTAGTCTATTACCAGCTTAAAAAAATTATTTTCCCCCCTTTTTTTGAAAATATTTAAATTTGAATGTTTAGCATTCTAATTATAATGACCTGATGCAGATCTTAATTTAAATACATTATGACAAATGTTTTCGATCCCCTTAAGTTATTTTTGCTGGTATAGTTTAAAGGTTTTAGTGGAGTTATTTAATAGATGATGCAGCAATATTGATGCTAATGGGAAGTGTACCACAAGATTTTTCAATGTCTGCTGCTAAAATGGGATACTTAACTGATCTTGATGTGATTTTGAACCATATTTCATCTATAAATGTTTGTCTGATGGAGAATTACTTTAATAAAATTGAAGACAAAACTGTTCAAAAAGGATTGCCATTTATTATTTTTTGTGTTCCAAGACTAACACATTCTCGGCACCTGACCTTTCTTTGTAGGCTACTTGTCACCGGAAAATTACAAAGAGTTCTTTTAAAAAACACATCCAATTAAAATTACAAAAATTTCTGAAAAAGGAACTGGTGACATACAGTTGTCCTGCTTACATCCGTCTATACCTTCTTTTGGGGGTTTCCTCTGCTTTTTATCTACTAGAAATTGGTGCTGGAAAATATAGATTTTTAGAAATATAGAAAATATTTTATCTAATTGCTTCATTACACATTTACAATATGGTGAAACAACTATAGTTCATTTTTACCTACATTATGTTTCTTATCTGACAAATATCTGATAGATGATGATAACCAATATCACCTGGAAACATTATTATTATTTATTTTTGGGAAGGCTACTAGAGACAATTGCAAATTGATGTTATCAGAGTAATCACACAGAAGTGAGTAGACACAGGTTTATTATGACGATAGTATACATTTTGGACAGGTTGTCTACCCCCTCTTCAGCCATATTTGCTACAATTTGGTAGGTTTACAAAAATACAAATGGTTTTTCATTTAAAATTGTTGCTTAATTATTACTTATCATCATCATAAACCTCTGTCTACCCACTTGTGTGTGATAACTGACAATGTCAATAGTGTGGGATAAGTTTTGGCTCTATGAGGAGTTATTACAATTTTAATCTATCAGCACTAAGAAGAAAAGACAAATCACTAAATCCTTTGTAATTGTTTGGCCACGATTAGTTCTATCCTCCTACCTTTACTGTGCATTGTGTTACAAATTACGTAAACCAGTTCCATAACTCAGGTAATATTTTTGCTACTTTACTCATTCCAATTACAAAAGCTAGATAATTCCATTCATTCAACCAAATG